GTCCCTCTCACACACACTCTCCCCTGCTCTCTCACACACACTCTCCCCCTCTCTTATGGGAATTTGTTTTAAAATCGTTACAAAGAAATTAAATCAATTAAAATAATTTTCATAATAACTAATAAATGACCAAAAATTGTTTGAGTGCTCGTTATTGAGGGAAAAAGTGAGATATTGAAAACACACAGGGGTTAGAGTGCATTGAAAAGTTATGCAATAATGGTACGGACATTATAACTAGTGATCATAAATGTGGTGAACAAACCTCCAAGTCTTTCGTATGACATCGAAGAGACCCTTATAGTTGGTGTGTTGGTCTTGGAGTCGGGCCCTTAACAGCTGATACGGGTATGTGATTGTGGCGGCAAACAGTTTGCTCAGCGACGCACAGGTCAGGTACTCAATGGTTTCCAACTTTGCATTCTTCTTTAACTTATTCTTCAGTATATAATACTTCTTGAGCTCCTCGTAGGCCATGAACTGAAGGGCTCCGTGACTCACGTTGAGAATGCCGGGAACGTAGCCGCGATACAGGCCTGATATGCCCTCGTATTGGTATATCCGGCGCAACACGTCTACCATTCCTGTGTACCGCTTGGAGGACAGTGTCTGCACTTCACTCACATTCGTGTACTGCAGACACATCTGAGTCTTGACGACCCAAATGGGATTCGTGATGGTTGTGGTGATGAGTCCGGCCATCGCGGCGGCCATCAGGTGACTGCCGGGACCCAAATCGACGCCCTTATTGTCGCCATTCATTCGGGACTTAATCGAGTTATAGAAGAGGAAGTAGAAGCCCCACGAGGCGCCCGCACCCCAACAGTTCGGGATCACCCCTTTGTACAGCCCTTTCACGCCCTCCTGAGTGACGATTGTGTTGACGGCGTTCACCAGTCCTCGATAGTGGGGTCGCGCCGACACCTGACCGTCGTTTACTGGCCATCGGATCCAAACGCATAGACAATAGTAATCAAAATGTTAGTTAAAGGGTTACAAAACACGTGCAAAACATGCCAAACATGTCGTCGATTACCCGCTAAACGTATTTTAAGCAAATCTAATGGATGTAAGACTAGAGTAGAGGTGACTCCGCCGACGACACCGGCCATCAGGTGCTCGTACTTCACGTGTGCTCTGCATTTGGTCAGCCATGAGGTGGACGGCGGCGAAGAGTTGTTGCCATTGGTTATTGTCTTCGGCTTATTGTTGCCGTCCTTACCATCGATGGCATTATTAGCGCTCATTATAATGGGATTCACTTGAAAACCAATGGATCCGACAATCAGTTGATTATAAATCACTTTTGGATTTCAATGAAACGAATAAATAAATTAATGAATGAATTAAATGTGAATTCAAAACACAATTCATTGGCGAAAACATAACAACAAATCCAGACATCATTTGCCAATCAATGCATTCATTGAATGAGAAGTTTCAACACTAATGTTGTTATCATTCATACGAGTAATGAATGCGAAAACAGATCACAAAAACGATTGCAAAGATATTTTTCAGCGATAATTACAATTGATTTGCGAAATGTTTTCATTCAAAACAGTTGTTGTGTTTTGTATTGTGTTTGCGATTCAATGGCAAACGCGTTGACAATACATGACATGTGTTTAGCAGTGAATACGTCTCCCTCTCTGTCGGCCCAAACGTGTCGTCAGTTTTGAGTGGTAATCGTTGGCAAGCATTGCATCACAAGTGCCACAAACTTTGTGCCACACAATCGTTGCCTAATTTTTTAATTGATTTTTTTAAATACCTGTTTATCGCTACACATATAGAGAGCGATACATGTGCTGAGAGTTTGAGCTTTTTTTTGTCCTAATTTAGCGCAAATGCTAACAATGTTTGGTTGAAATGCCGTTGTTTTAAATCGGTATACAATTTGTTGGGCTCAAGAATCTTTTGGTGGTAACGCTTCCCAAGAATTTATTACTAATTATAAATTAAACTATTTTTGAGATAAAATAAGCACTTAAGATGTTTACACTTAGTTTACATAATATGGTGTATATGTACTGACAATTAAGTTATGAAAACAAAATGATATAAACTATTTATGCGCCGAAAAGAAGCAGTGATTTTCCAGAAAACACTTGTCTCCAGATTTGAGTCCAAAAGACTGTAATTATTAGACAATATTTTCTCACCACAAATATTGTGCACACATTTAGTTCTCAATAATTGCCAAAACATTGGATAAGAGACTATCGATAAACAAAACTGATTGCGAGAGTGTCTGTCAAATCAATAATCAAAGAAACCACAAGTGAGTCAACACTTGGTTTGATTGATAGCATGACGTCCAACACTCCGGAGGACGAGTTGCTACCAGTGGTGCGAACACTGGAGGCTCTTCTCGTCATTCTTGCCATTGGTTTCCAATTGTCGTCCATTTGGTTCACATGTCGTTATTTTGTGGACTCTATTGAACCGGAATTCAAAGACAGCGCTTTCGTCAGGAATGCCAACAAGAATAGGTCGAAGAAGAAGACAAACGAAGCCATTATCATACGAAAGCTGGACATTGGGCTGGAGATCTCTACTGAAACATCAACAACAAGATCATCGCTGTAACCAATCCACTCAACCTTAACACACATTCGCCTTCATTTCATTGATTGTCAAATTAAACATCAAATCTATTGAATTTTCACACATTATTTGCTACTTATCTTTAATACTGTGAATATTTAAATATATAAAATTATAATTTAAACTAAATAAATATTCTTTACGTTAGTAAACATGGATTTCTAATTTTTAATTAAATGTAATACATTTGACGTCAATATATTTTAATCGATAAATTGTATTTATTGTTGACAATCAATAAATTTGTAAATATCTTATGAAATAGATATTGAAAGATAATTTTTAACTTTTTTACTAGTTTTGTATATTTTATATGAAAGAAAATGAATAAGACTTTCCTTATAATCCATATCACATTACTCTGGAAAAGTAATATAACACATATTATGTTTATATCGATTCTTTCGGTATAATTATGGGCAGTGAAGGAAAAATTGCTTCAAATTATTTACTATTAGATTTGATTATAACATAAATATTTTCAAAATTAAAGACACATTAATTTACAATATGAGTATAATTCGTCAAAAAGAGTAATAAAAAACTAATAAAAAGTTTACTATTAAAAAATATATAAAAATTTAAATCCAAAATATGATTACATGAATCGGCAATTAGATTAGGCTTGGTTTAGGTGGGGCTCAAATATTTTACCAATCCTTGCGATCTCTTTCTCGGTTAGCCCTCGATTTCTGGCCACTTCTTCGGCTGTGGGACAGCCTTTGGGCACAACTCTGTAGTCCTTATCACAAGTGCCGCCCAGAAAGTCGGGTAAGTTTTCTTTGTCGACATAGTTTTCAATCTCTGTTTTATTGGCAAATTTGATGAGTTTTCGCTGCTCTTCGGGTATCCAGCCTTTGGCTATTTTCCACACGGCGTTCAAAATCCAGGGCAACTCGTATACCAATATATAGGAGAGACCTTTCGGGTAGTATTTGTTCATCGATGATATCAGAAACCACAACATATCCATATCCACGTTACCGACGCCCGCGTCCTTACAGTCAAACACAATAGCCATACCTCTGCCGTCGACCTCGACGTCCACTTTGTTCATCATATAAATTGTGAATTGTTTGAGAGCCCTCTCGAGTTCGGGAATCTTTGTGTGCAACTTAATCCTCATATAAATCATTCCGTTTCCCTCCCTATCCTTCATATACGGGAAGACACCACCGATTTTGAAAAATTCTTGCGGGAAATCCGTATCTCTTAGTATAGGAATCTCCAGCTCTTTCCGCCAACGCATGCAATTCTTAAGCATTTCTGCCGACGGATCCACTTTGCGTCGGTTCCTCAGCAGGAATCGGGTCACATACCAGTCATCCTCTTTAATCTTCTCGGCGTCGCCCTCGAAGTACAGCTCACTGTTTGCCTCATAGTCTTCGACAAACAGATCCCGCACTTTCACCACTAACTCTTGCAGCTCTTGTGTCGCGTCTATTGATGGCATTCTTCGATCCCTAAATAAATTAACTTTATTTTGTATCTCAACTGTAGTTTTGGCGCTTATAATCGTCACACAAATCCATACAAGTATTTAAAGTCACAACACTTTACACAAAAGTTTCATTGAGTTGTTATCCAAACGATATCTGGAGTGGAAATGGGATTCTGATTAGCGTTAAAAAATAGTCCAATTAATTGTCACATGAATAATGGCATAATTATTTAAAGACAAGAACTCATATCATTAAAAGTTAGTAAACAAGTGATCGGAAAACACAATTTGTTGGAAAAAACACACTTATAAATGACTTTTGTTGTCATAAGTGAAGCATAAATCAGACAAATGAATGAAAGCAAAAACTTTTTTCAAGAATCCGTACGTCAGGCGAAAGTAAACGTATGTTTAGTTATTGTGTGATTGTGTTTAAAAGCGAAAGTTGTTGGACGACATCGAGTGTAACATTTGTTTTAAATAACAAATGCTTTATTATAACAAGTTTTTCAGCGAAATGAAGCCAAGGTTGCCGTGAAATAAGACCATAGAGTTTTTCTTGCTTTCAAAACATATTAGCCATTCATAAGAGATAATGCATTCACGATATTATGCTCTTAACTGTTATGAAGTAATGAACTTGGATTTGGCTTTTTGAGCATAATTTTCCCATAACCCCATCTAAGACATTATATTACATAACATACTGTAATACACCCTATGGTGAATTTGTATGAAATCGTATAAAAACATTTTGTTATCATACTTTCTCTATTTAACGTGAATTTTCCTTAATATTTGAATTTTAATCAATGGTTAAATCAATTAAATGAGACTTTTATGATGTTATTTTGTAATACTTTTTAAAATAATGTTAACTGAGACTAAAATAAAGTTTCTTTCTTCATGTATTGAATATTTAATTTATTGTTTAACAATTTTAATATCACTTTTTTGTTAAGTAATTATTTAAAGCAATCGTCTGACAAACAATTATATTAAATATTTTAAAGTTTAATCAAAGCTCACCTCAATGTTCAGCCAATGTATCGACAGGTAATTCGCAGGAAATAGTTATTGGATGTCAAATAAATATAATTAGTTTTACAATTATGACAGTTTTGACGACAAAATTAGCTTATTATAAATGGCTTTTATTAATAGCTTGTTTTAATTAAATTAATGTTTAATTGGTTTCACTAATTATATACAGATGTGAACATAAAGCTTTATGGTTTTTATTTATTAATAGTTTGCAGACAATTAATAATTCAAACTTTATGTCATTTACAATAAATCATTCAATTAAAACAAGTGAAAGGTTTTTAACTTTTAATTAAATTATTAATTATTTTTACCTTAATGTAAGCTTACAATATGGGGATTATTTTGAACATGATAAATAGTTCTAAACTTATTAACGTTATATTTAGTCCAAATACGGTATTATAATTATATGACAAACGTTTTTGTTGTTGTTTGTGAACCAAATGGCAAAACCGTATATGAATTGACTGAATGTTAATATATCACGTTATATAACGATATGTGTAATCAATTTTATACAATGAATTTAATAGTGAACTCATTTTAGAGGCGTTTTGATACAAAAGCCAATTATTTAACTATATTTTCCTCTAATAACGTGTGGAGGATATTAAACGAGATTAAAAACTTATGGGATTTAGTGAAACATTTATTGCTTTTTTGTTACTTATTTTATTTGAGCGTTAATTTAATTTAGCATTTTAATCAAACAATTGGGTAAAAAGTAAATATTTTTTCACCTCAAATAATAATATTGATTATTATAATTATTATTTCATTTAAAGTTTATATAACTTATTATTTGTTGAGAGGGAAAAGTGAGCGCATTTATTGCAAACCATTAACAAATCATAGCCTTAAGGCTTAAGGCATTTGCGAAAAGTTCAATGAATTCTGCAAAATATACTAATAATCTATTGAATTGGTTTTAACGGGACTTTTATCGACAATAATATTGCAATTAATTAAATCATTTCATTCTATAAATGGATGTTTTTATAATTTAAAATTATTATAAATTTATATTGGTTATATAAACTTTAAGTTTGCGGTAATTTTGTAGCGCAAGTAAATTACCAAGGACATTTTCTATCTCATAAATAAATAATTTAATTGAAATTAATAAGGTAAAATATAATACCATTGATAATTAAATTTATTGATAAACTAGATCTTAACTAATTACTCAAACAAAATATTTATTGTCTCAAAAATATTGCTTATAAAAGTTGTAACACATAAAATATCAGACATAATAAACCATTATTTATTCAATTAATTCAAATGAATGGCAAATATTTAGCACAATAAACACAATTTTTGTACGTTAAAAGTGTATATCATTTAACATTTTACAAATTATTGATTAGAAATGAATTAAAATTTGACCGACAGTTAGACAAAGAGCCAAATTTGTATTCAAATTGGTTTTGGTATTCAAACAACAGGTCGTC